TCCTCTCTTGGATTGGCTTCTGTCGTCTTCGTGCTCACTGTCCCAAATGTTCGTGCTCTTTCAGCTTTTGGTTCTTCAGTCATGTTTTCTTTCGTTTTTATTCCGACCATCATCGCCAACTTTTCTGTAAAAGATGTCTTTTTTACTTGAGAGTCTTCTTTCACCGTTTCTTCATTGTCTATTGGTGAGAACTCTATGGGTTTCGGGTTTGGTTCTTCTGCATTGGGCATTGGAGTTGACTCCGTCGCCATTTTCCTTGTTTCATCCACACTTTGATCAGGTGTCTCTAGATCAATCTCGATGATGGGTTCTACTCGTTCCCCTTCCGTGCCCTCTTTTGCTCTGTTCTCCGTTGTACTCCTTGTGCTGACCATATTAACTGAAAAGCTCTTCTTTGTTATCTTCGGACCCATTGATGTTGTTTTGCGTAGCGACGAATTATACTTTGTCTTTGCTTCGGTAGATCTTTTTTCAGCTACCGGTACCCTGCTCCGCCTCATTATTTACAAGTATTATTATTTACAGTATTATTATCTACAAAATTTCTACTCTAAGGTTAAAACTCTAAGTAAAAAGAAATTGACAATTCGCTAAAAACAATTTTTCTTAAACTCTTGAAAAATTTTATGTGTTAGGTTAGGATAGGGAATGTGTTGTTATAATTGGTTACTTCAACCTAACTTAGTACTTTTGTAGTACCCCCTTCCTAATACTGTTCCAAGACTTTCTCTCTACCGTCCCAAGACTATTCAGTGTTGTCCCAGTACTTCTTGTTGGTTTCCTCAGACCAATGTCCCAAGACCAACGTCCCTAGACCAACGTCCCAAGACTAACGTCCCAAGACCAACGTCCCAAGACTAATGTCCCAAGACTAACGTCCCAAGACCAACGTCCCAAGACCAACGTCCCAAGACTAATGTCATGTCCCAAGACCAATGTCCCAAGACTAACGTCCCAAGACTAATGTCATGTCCCAAGACCAATGTCCCAAGACTAACGTCCCAAGACTAATGTCCCAGGACCAACGTCCCAAGACTAATGTCCCAGGACCAACGTCCCAAGACTAACGTCCCAAGACCAACGTCCCAAGACTAACGTCCCAAGACTAATGTCCCAAGACCAACGTCCCAAGACTAATGTCCCAAGACCAATGGCCCAAGACCAACGTCCCAAGACTAATGTCCCAAGACCAATGGCCCAAGACCAACGTCCCAAGACTAATGTCCCAAGACTAATGGCCCAAGACCAACGTCCCAAGACTAATGTCCCAAGACCAATGGCCCAAGACCAACGTCCCAAGACTAATGTCCCAAGACTAATGGCCCAAGACCAACGTCCCAAGACTAATGTCCCAAGACCAATGGCCCAAGACTGTTTCATACCAAGACTGCTCTGGTCCAAGACTGCCCCAAGGCTGCACTGTCCCAAGACTGTGTTGCCCCAAGACTGTCCCCAGACTGCAATGTCCCAAGACTTCTTCGGTACTGTCCCAAGACTCGTCACTGAGTGTCTGGATATCGGATCTCTTTCTTCTTCGTTGTAGGGACTTCTTGATTCACTGTACCTTGTACCACCACTCAAGCTCTTGTGAAAATTTTCCCAAAAACCCTCTCTTGATGGCCAAATGCTGACCCCTTTTTTGAATTACCTCTTTTTCTATGTTCCAAGCAACTTGAAACCAAAACCTGTGCGCAGGTATCTTGTGATCACCTGTTCGTATAAAAACCAATCGCAAATCCTCACCAAAATGCAACAATAAATAAAAAAAAAATTTTAAACAAGAAAAAAAAATTAAACAGAGAAATCAACCCACCTAAAACTCAAAGGAGACAAATGTCGACCTTCTGTCGAAAAAAAATGTCTGGTACCTAACTGCCACGCGTTTTCCTCCCCCCACTAGCGATCTAATGGGGTATCACAAAAACTGTCTATATCCGTTCCCCCCTACCAATCCAACCAGCGTACCAATCTTAACTCGAGTTAAATTTTGAATATCCACCTATTATTACCAACGCGTGTTGATGGCTAATGTAACTAAATCAACGATGTCGATTAATTAGTTACTCTAATTTCCCCCCTTTTTACAATTTACAACCGCCAACCTCTAACCTAACCAGCCCCCCTTCTAACCTCCCCCCTCTTTAGCCCCCCTCTTAAGCCGAAAAATCCCTTAAGCGCCGGGTGCTAAACCTCTCGAGAGAAAACCGTAGACCTGTTTCCAGGCCTGCTTGAGTAAAAACTGCCTCAAAACAATGGGACTCCGCTTATCCAATTTTACACTTATTTCCTATAATGTAATGTGGATTCTAACGATACCCGTTGTTCGACTTGAGAAAACCCCTGTGCGTCCTCTTGTAGTGGTCCTGTGCTGGTTGTCTCTGTTCTGCACTTGACAGCAGAACCACTTTCCCGCTCGACTGGTCACCTCTTCCAATCAAGTCTCCTAGTGGTCCGTTTCGATCCTTGTGAACCACTTTCCCACTCGACTGGTCACCCTTTCCAGTCAAGTCTCCTAGTGGTCCGGTTCGATCCTTGTGAACCACTTTCCCACTCGACTGGTCACCCTTTCCAGTCAAGTCTCCTAGTGGTCCGGTTGGGTCGCAATCTATCTGAAAACCCTTAACAACGCCCCCCACTCGGGCACCTTACTGAATTCACTGGTTTAAATTGCTAGATTGATCGAAACGATCGGTCTTATAAAACAGTATGTGTATACTATTTAATTAATACAAAGGTTTGATCCAACTAACTTGGTATCAAAGTCACTGTCTTTTTTCGTTTTATGAATTTGTTCCTTTTTGTATTCTTTTTTGCTCGTGTTTTTGTCCCCCTAGTTGCCCACTTGAGTTTGAGGAGTAATTAAAAGATAAGTAGCTCGAGGATTAAATAATATAACTAAATAAGTTTGATGCTAATTAGTTTTAACAACAGAAGTAAGTTTTGTCTCAAGAATCGAAGTTTCTGTATGAACCATCGGGACACTCGAGTTGTCCTCTCTTCCATTGAATGTTCACTCTGTTCCGTTCGAATAATCGTCCTTTCTCAAGTCTGTGTTATATTCTCCTGTTTTCGGGATAAGACAGCTCTACTCTCTTATTATTTCGTATCGAGAAATTGCGAATAGCAATTTCCTGCCTTTTTCTTGAGTAGTTTCCCGCAATTGTTAACTGTCGTTCTGATTTTTCACTTTTTGTTTTCAGTTGGTTCGAGAAAACTGAGCATGACAGGCTCCATTTGAAATTTTTAAAATTAAAACTTCACTCCAAAATTACGTGTTTCTCAAGGTCAAACCTCCAGACATGACCGACTGGCACAGATGGATATTAGCTGTTATCGCCCGATCAGTATTTTATCTTAACTTTCTCTTATTTTTGAACGCGTTCTATATAATAAACTCTATTCCTTTGTTGCTGACAGACTGACACATAGACAAATTGGCTTTACGCGTAAACGCTCTTGTCAATCACAACTTTTACTCTATCTCCATGACATCCATAAATCATTGGATGAAAACTCCGAATCGTTTGCCGTGTATTTAGACTTTTGCAAGGCATTTGATAAAGTTCCTCATCATGTACTATTACAAAAACTTCGAAACTTTGGCGTGGGAGGGAACCTCTTGCGTCTGTTGTCTTCATATTTGAAGCACCGTCGACAATGTGTCAAAATTAATGGTGTCCTCTCTGGCTTTTTACATGTACTGAGTGGTGTGCCACAGGGGTCGATTATTGGCCCTCTATTATTCGTAATTTTTATTAATGATATGCCGTAGCAGTGTTTTAATTCTATCATGTTTTTATTCGCTGATGATAGTAAGTCAAGAGCTCATTCCCTGAGATTACTACAAGCTGATGTTGACCGGTGTGTTGAATGGGCAGCCAAAAATGGGATGACTTTCAATACGAAGAAAACCGTATTTGCTCATTTTGCTAACAAGCACACTTTACTAACTCCCCACTTTCTGAAACTTGGAGATCATATTGTTCCGGACAGCACCACAGTCAAAGACCTGGGACTCATAGTCGACAACACATTGAATTGGAAGTCACATATCACTGCCAAAATAAAAAGCTGCTACAATATTTTCTATTCTCTTAGACGTGTTATACCTTTCAGTACGCCATTAGCCACAAAGGTTCAAGTTATTAAGGCTTATATTTTATCTTCTCTCTGCTACCTCTCCCCGATATGGTATCCTAGTCGAACTGAGCTGAAAAGCATGGACACCTTGTTATCAAGAGTTACAAAGTGGATTACAGTCGGTTCCTACAGCGAAAGACTGCAAAAATGTTTCTTGATGCCAATAAGTCTTTATTTAGAGTATCTTGACCTTACATTTTTCAACGCTTTGTTATCAGGAAAGCAAGATATTCAAGTGTGGAATTTTGTGTCACTAAGATATTACTCAAGGTACAGCTTGCGGAGCTCCGAAAAACCAGTTTTCAACGTAAATAAAACATATCGGGCATCTTACGACCAATGGTTTTTCAATAGAGTGGTCAGAAGTGCAAATAAACTCCATGAGAAGACCGACATCAGTTTATTTGATTCGCAAATTTCATTCAAGCGCCGTCTCAAACATTTCTTTCTGAACAATGACTGGTTTTAAGTTTTGTTTTTTTATTCTCTCATATTGTTTTTATACAATTAAAGTCTTCTACTACTACTACTACTAACGTCGTTGCCTGCCAATTTCCGTTGCACGGGACGGTTCGGTGCAATCTCGAATGTCCCACTGGACATCCCGTTCCCACAATCTTCTTCTGGTAGGCACCTTATCGTGTCCTGATGTAACGTTAAGAGGCCTCGTTTATGTTTTTCTCTGTCGTTTTCCGACTATTTTCTGTCTTGTTACCGGTTGTACTGTTTTGTATAATCGTTTGGTTTTGTATCACATTTGGTGAGAAACTCGCTTCGCCTTTGCTTGTAAAGTTATTTTTATGGGTGGTCTGAATGTTTTCTTTTTAGGCTATAAGTAAAGACATTTTTCTTTTTAGACAAATAATGGAATCAGATAAGTTTCAAGCTTTAAAACGGGATCCTAGGTTTCGTTCAAAGACGCAAAAGAACCCAGAAGAGAAAATTGAAATCGATGAAAGGTTTTCGAAAATAGTTGATCACGAGGATTTTAAAAGGCGCGATATTGTACAGCTCAAAATCGAAGATGGACATGATAGTGAGCAACAAATTCCGGCAGAGTTTCGCAGAGTGGTTCCAGGTGTCTATGATCCTGCACGGGGGATTGGATTAGAAGAATCAAGCAGTGAATCGTCTGAGTCTGAAAGCGAAAACGAGGCTGACGCGCAAAATGTAAACAACCTACTTCATAATTGGAACTTTAACGATGAAAATGTTGCTAAAGCATCTAGTTCCGATGCTTTATCATCAACCCTAGCCTTGTGTAATTTCGACGCGGATCATTTGAGTGCTCAGGATATTTTCATGATGCTTCAGTCTTTTTTATCGCTTGGTGGGAAAATTAAAAGCGTCAAAGTGTACATATCTGATTTTGGTAAAGAGAAATTAGCGGAAGAAGCAATTGAAGGACCAATATCACTTAAAGTTACCGAACCCTCTGAGCATAGTAATGAAATTTCAGATGAAAAAAACGCTGCCGAAAAGATTCGTCTTTATCAAGCGCAAAGACTTCGATATTTTTTTGCTATAATATCTTGCTCAGACTCTGATACAGCTGCACAGCTTTATGAAGCTTGCGACGGACTTGAGTTTGAGTCATCTGCGACGTTTGTTGATTTGAGATTTGTTCCTGATTCTGAAAATTTGGATGATAATAAACTGAAAGATGAGTTTTATCCAGGGGCCGATTTGGCAAAATATGCTCCTAATTTGTACACTAATAAATCAATGTCGCATCAGAAAGCCGAGATGACCTGGGATGGGGATGACAGAAAGCGTAAAGAAGTGCTTAACAAGAAAGTAATCAAAGATGAGGAACTCGATGACTACAATGCGTTTCTCGCTTCTAGTAGCAGTGAAGAGGAAACGGATGAACAAAATGCACACGGTAGTTTAGCAAAAAAGCGAGCTCTATTATTAGGCGAAGATGTAGCTGAAAACAGAGTCGAAAAGGTTGTACAAGGAAGCAAACACGAGAAGTCAGTTACAATCCAGTTGAGCGCAGAGGAAGTACAAAAGTTGAAAACAGAATCAAAGTCGAGAAGTGATCAATCGGAGTCAGAGGAAATTGAAGAAGAATCGGATGGCTTCGAAGAAGCAGCAAACTCTGATGACGATGGCGATAATGTAGTGTCAGAAAGAAGAAATACACAAAATGATTTGCAGCTTTTACTTGCTGACGTCGAAGACACAGATCACAAACATTTCGACTACAACAAAATCGTTAAAGTGGAAAAAATGTCCGAAAAAAGTAGGAAGAGAAGAAACAAAGAAGTTGACTCGTTTCGCATCGACACTGCAGATTGTAGGTTTCAAGCCTTGTTTGAAAATGCTGAGTTTGCTATTGATCCTTCAGATCCAAAATTCAAAGCTACTGCAGCCATGAAAGAGATCGTCTCTAAGCGGGCCGAATGTCGAGGAAATAAGTCTCGCGAAAACTACGAAACCGAGCGAAACAAAACTCCAATTGGAAGTGAGGCTACGACGACAGAAAATGATCAGCCTGCAAAGCATAAGCTTTCTTCCCTTATCCAGTCTTTGAAAAACAAAAGCAAAGCTCAGAAAGTTGCTACGGATAAAAGAAGAAAATGAATGCACGGAGTTAGCTGCACTGATCCAGTATCAGTTTTGAAACAATGGTCAAGAAAAGTGACCCCAGAGTTGGAAGCAAAGAAGGGTTTGATTGATGATCGGCAGACAACAGCTTACCGTTGAAAACAGAGAGAACTAAAACAATTCAATTTTGTTTTTTAAAACAGAATTTTTAAATTATAGCTCTTTGACTGCTTATGTTGCATCAGGTGTAATTGATTACACGAGCGTAGTGTAGTGCGATAGTACGATGCAATTTTTTTTTCTAACCTATATGCTGAAAAAAAAATCGATTCGAAAACCGATTTCGTCCATGAAATAACTTGAAAAATTTCAAAGCTTCATCGCTTGAATAGCTTGCATAAAAAACTTTAAGCTTTTCGCAAACTGATTCGGTTTATAGATAACTTGAATTATTTCAAATATTCTAGCTGAAAAAACTTGCTTAGAAGAATTTAATTGTTTCACGAACTGATTCAGTCTATGAACTAAGTTGAAATATTTCAAAGTTTCATAGCTTTAAAAGGTTGCTTAGAAAAACCTAAACTTTTCGCGAACTGATTCGGTCTACACAATAACTTGAAAAAGTTCAAAGTTCCATAGCTTGCTTAGAAAAGTTTAACTTTTGGTGAAACGATTCGGTCTACGAAGCGCTTGAATTTTTTCTCGCGCAGGATTAGCTCGCGCAGAAAAACTTGTTTTCGCAAAACGTTTCCTTCTAATAAATAACTTGTAAATATATCAATTTTTTTATAGCTACAATAACTTGATTAAGTGAATTTTGGTTTTTTTCGAACTGATTCGCTTTATTAGCTCGCTCCATTAGCGCGCTAGAAAAATCTAAATTTTCCTAAAATGTTTTGATCTAAACAACTCGAAATATTTCAATTGTTTATAGCTTCAATAACTTGCTTCAGTAAAACGTGCGTGTTTTTGCCAACCATTTCGCTCCATGAAATTACTTGAAATTTTGAAGTTTGATAGCTTGAACAGCTTGCTTAGAAAAACTTTTTGGACTCCGATTCGATTCACGAAATTAACTTGAATTATTTAAGGTTTCGTAGCTTGCTCAGAGTAAGTTTCATTTTTTCGAGAACTGATTCGTTCTTTGATACGTAAAGTTTTCAAACCGATTTAGGATCTGGCTCAGCTTGAGATTTCGAGGTTTTATAGCTGGATCAGAACAGCAACTATTTTTTGCGAGCTGATTGATTACTGGAGAAAAACTTGCTAGTAATAATTTAAATCCTTTTTCAAAAATTTCCAAATTGATTTACTTTGCGAGATTTTTGAAATGCATAATTTATTCGCAATTTGATTTAATACAATCTAATGTAATACATGCAACGGATATTATGCACTAAACAGCCCAAAATAAGTATTTCTGTATCTTGATCTTAAGTCAATGTGGTTCAATCTGATTGGTTAATTAGCCAATCAAATGCAAGCAACATGGTCAAGCATTTCATTTAAAATTTGAAGCAGATATCTGCTGAAGCCATATTTAAAAAAAGTTTTCTCGTTTTGAATTTTTCTCTTTTGAAAAACTTGTCTTGAAAATAATAATTTTTATTATTAGACCAAGTTTAACATTTTGGTATTTTAGGCTAATAATTTTATCTGCTGGAAGTGTTGATTGAATTGCCTGACCATGTTGGTTGAATTTGATCGGCTAATTTTAGCCAATCAGATTCGATTGCATAAATTTCTGTGCAATATATGAAAATTTTCATTTTGGGCCGTTTTGTGCATAAGACCCCATGCAACGTTAATGGGGCTGCCTCTAGCTTATTACATTCCAAATTATTACTTACAGACTGATTATAAAATACATGCAGTAATTGCAAATTATAACCAGAACTTTTGCCGCTTTCTTGCTCGTGTTTGCGAAGCTGCAGCTTTGCCTCTGTGTTGGATGTTGCCGCCAACACAAAAAGTTTTTTTGTAAAATCAGTCGAAATTCCTTTTCTACCGACATAAAAATAATGGGTTGCTGCGCCAAGAAAATTAGCATATCACGTACTTGCTTATTTGATGAAAATGCAAATACCTGATATGATGACAAATTGGCTGATATTAGAAAGTACCTTAATGTTCTATTGATTGAAAATGAGGAAGAACTTTGTAGTCGTTTTTTTGTTGTTTTAGTTTTTTTGGTTTCAAGTTTTTTTCCGCTCAAAATCAGGTACCACAAATAATTTTCAGACTTTATATCATATTACAGCCTTATAAGTCGTGATTCGAATGACATTCAACAAATTTCAAAAATTTTCCTAGTGTCAATAAAAATTGGTTTTAATGTTCTTCAGTTATAGTTCAATTTCGGGCGATTTAAGCAATCAGGTAGCGTTCGTTATTACCCTTGCGATAGGCAAGGGTATTGCAATCTAGTACAAGACATTTTCGCCCATTAATTTATTTTGTTCAGAGGACTCATCTGGACTATGGTATCTTGGTTCATACAGAATTCATTATTCTTAGTGTCTCCTATACAGTTAGCCTGGCGGTTAAGATTATGCCTGGGAAGAAAATCGAAAGTAAAATCGCAAGAAAATTGTTTCGAGTCAGCCTGAACTAATAACGTTTTCCCTAAAAAAAACATTGCGACCTATTCAAGAGTCTGAACTACTATGACAAACCAAAAAATGAAGTTTTTAAACGAATAAAGTAGATGAATAAAATCAAATAAGTAAATGAACTAAGTTTTTAAAGTATCTCTTACTAATTTTCAAAGAGTTTTAAGATCATCTATTTTTCTAGGAATTTCTGAAGTTGATTTTTTTTGCGTTCATTGACTTTTTTGCAACTGTCTGTTGGCTATGTTTTTTGACAAATTTTGTCGGTTATGTCTAATTGACTATTTTTCTAGGTATTTGTATAGTTCTGTAATTGCACCACGCACTTCGAAGAAGAAATTTTTCTTTTGAATGCTCAATATTCTGTGCTACTTGTACAGCAACCGGGCAGCTTTTTCATAATAGTAGTTTTGTTATGCTATGATTTTTATGAGCAGGATTTGTTCTTCATATTTATTAAGACTAGCGAGCGCAGTGTTATATCACAAATCCAATTTTTTTGGTTTAACTAGCAAATAAGAGCTCATTTGGTGTCTTTGCTGCATTGTTTTGCAATTTAATAGCAGATGATGATCGAACTTCTTGATGGCTAGTATTTTGACTGCTTTCAGCCGCTTTTTTTTTTAAATTATAAGTTCTTTTTTGCTCAACTAGTGTCTGCTCAAAAGTTTTCGACGTTTTTATGCTTCATAAATTTTGTTCCACTGCAGCAATACGAAAGTTTCGGTAGATGTAGTTTCCAACATTTTTCTTTTCTAACTTTGTAAGTTTCTTTTATTTATGTGTTATATCGTAAGTGACCGTGTTGAATATAACGCTTCAACTACCTGGCCAGTTGTTGATAACAATGTAATCCTCTTTTGTAGCTCAAAAATTTTTTTGAGGGTCATGGTCTCCAAAAAGTTGCGAAATTATCTAAAATTGCGTTTAAAAAAAGAAACTTAAAGTTCATGAAGTAAAAATTACTTTTTTTGGCTATAATATAAAGCTGAGAAGATAACATTCCTCCTACACTTTTTTAGGCTTTTGATGAGTAGAAAGAGCCGAAACGTTATAGTCAAGTTTTGGGTCTGAATTTGTCAAGTGTTTTGCACAATATCAATTCTGGTAAGGTTCTATGCTTGAATACTTGAATAATGTCTATCAATTTTGAAAAAAATGCAATCAAAGTTTCCATTTTTCGTGATGTCTTGATAGTTAAAATCAACACTGTTTAAGGGTTTTTATTAGAAAAAAAAGTTAAACGATAGCATGTGCTTCCCTACGGTGAAGTTTAAGCTAATATTATTCGGCTACACTGTTTTCTGTGCCTTTCGGTGCTTTCTTTTTTTCGGCACAAACAGTTTTTTTTACCATTTTTACTGCGTAAATTAAACGCAATAAGTGATGTCCGTTTGTATTATAAATATTTTAAAATTTTAATCCCTGTTTAATTTGACGAGGAATTTTGATCTGGATAAATCGGTTTTGCATTTTTAAGCGCTCTTATCTGACTTCCCTGGTGTGTTTTTCTTTAAAAGATTGCTGGCGATAAAAATTACCAGCGCGTAACGCACCTTCGGTGTTTCGAAACTTTGACTACTCATTGTATCTTAAATTTCTGAAAAAATTTAGAGTGATAAAAATGTCACATCTCGGAAATTAAAAGCACTTGAGCAATCGCATTTGGACGCAAGCACTTCTGCAATCGCATTTGGACGCTGCAGTTCCTGAGAGTACTCTAACAGTATCCTAATACAACGTTATGATTTTCAAATTTTGAGAAACAACAAATTTATACTTTCTAAAATTACCATAAAAAATGTCATATCTCAAAAACTATCAATTTTTGTGGAATCATTTTCGGACGCAAGATTCGCAATTCATGAGAATACTCTGAAATCACGCAACTAAACGGTTGGAAAACTCAAATTGTGAAATGCTTTTGATTTCAAGTTTTATGAGTATTTTTTTGAAAAAATCACAAAAACGTCATCTCGAAAACTACAATAAATTGAGCAGTCATATTTGGAGGCAAAAATTGCAACCACAATTTCAAAAAAGATATAATAAATAGTACATCCGAAAAACTTAGAGCATTTGAGCAATCGCACTTGAACGCAAGATTAGCAAGTTGAAGTTTCTGAGAGTATTCTAACATCAATTTGGGAGTTTCATTTCTGTTGATTTTCTTAAATCTAAGTTTTCTGAAAAATTAAAAAGAATTCAATAAACACTTTTCCCGACAACTGCAAGAAATTGAGCAGTTAAGTTTGATTATGAGTCGCAATCTTTGAGAGCACTCTGTCATCACGCAATTACAGGTTTGGGAAACTCAAACTTTGAGATAATTTTAAATTTAAGAATTCTAAAAATTTTTGGAAAGTCAAAGAAAGCGTGATATCTCAAAAACTATGAGCAGTCATACCTGGAGACAATTTTTGCTCCTGGAGACATTTTTAAGCGCTCTTATCTGACTTCCCTGGTGTGTTTTTCTTTAAAAGAGACATTTTTAAGCGCTCTTATCTGACTTCCCTGGTGTGTTTTTCTTTAAAAGATTGCTGGCGATAAAAATTACCAGCGCGTAACGCACCTTCGGTGTTTCGAAACTTTGACTACTCATTGTATCTTAAATTTCTGAAA